AGACCGGTCTCCTCAGCACCAAGCGTCTTGATTTAGCGACCAGGATTGCCATTCCCTTCCGGGATAGCGACCATCTCCTTATATGACAAACGACTTCATTATCGCCTCGTCATCATATTTCGGGCCGGTTTCTGAGCATCGCCGCCCGTAGATCACGAACGGCCCCTCGACCTCCACGTGATTCTACATCTCAAGACCGGCTTCCCCATCACCAAGCGTCTTGAGCTAGCGATCAGGCTCTCCATCCTTTCCAGGATGGGGACCATCGCCCTTATATGACGACTGGCTTCACCATCGCCTTGTCATCATTTCTTGGACCGCTCCTCATCGTCGTCGTCCTCAGATCATGAACGACCCCTCATCCTCTCACTTTATGGATAAGGACTGCTGCTCGGAATTTCAGACCAGCCTATCAGTGCTGACGTCTATACATCACGACTGGCCCCTCAGCCTCAGCGTGATGATTTCTCTCAAGACCGGCTCCTCAATGCCGAAGTCTTGTTGTAGCGATCGGGCTCACCATCCCTTCCTAGATGGTGACCGACGCCTTTATATGACAACTGGCTCATCATCGCCTCGTTATCAGATTTTGAGATTGACTCCTTCTCATTTGCCATCCACACATCACGACAGTCCCCTCGGCTACGGCGTGATTATCTACATCAAGACCAGCTTCTCAGCGCCGAAGTCTTGATCCAGCAATTGGGCTTGCCATCCCTTCCTAAATGGTGACCATCGCCTTTATATGACAATCGGTTTCATCAGTGCCGTCGTCATCAGATCACGAACGGCCCCTCGGCCTCGGCATGATCCTTTATCTCAAGACCGGCTTCCTCAGCGCCGGACGTCTTGAGCTAGCGATAGGGCTCTCCATCCCTTCCAGGATGGGGACCATCGCTTTTACGACGAACGGCCTCTCGGTACAGTCGTCCTCAGACCACGAACGGCTCCTCAGCCTCTACGTGATCCTTTATCTCAAGACTGGCTTCCTCGGCACCGAACGTCTTGAGTCAGCGATCGGGCTCTTCATCCCTTCTAGGATGGGGACAGTCATCTTTACGACGAACGACCTCTCAGTGTCGTCGTCCTTAAATCACGAATGACCTCTCAGCCTCTGAGCGCTGAATGTCTTGAGCAGGCGTCCATCGCCTCGTCCTCATGTTCAGACAGGCGTTCATCTCCTCGTCCTCATGTTCAGGCAAGCGTCCATCGCCTCGTCCACATATTCGGACCGGCTCATCAGCGTCGTCGTCCTCATCATCAGACGGGCGTCCCCTCAGCAGACGGACACCGCTGCAGCTCCACGCCCAGGCCGAAGGGAACACAACTTTTGCATCATTTTGGGGGCATCCGGTGTACTCTTTTCCCTCATTAGGATTTTTTCCCATAGGGTTTTTCCTAATGAGGTTTTAACGAGGCATCGCCCCATTGTGGATCAAAAGGTGTCGACCCTCGGCCCTGTGTTGAAGACATGCATTACTCTACTCCCTTTCGCCGTGAGTACTCTCGCCTCAGGCAATGGGGGACTGGGGGACTACATTGGCCTCCAAACGCAAGGATGAAATTGAAAATCCAAAAACGCATGAGTATACAACTGCGATGACAATGTATCGTCTATGCACCACAACGTCCACAAGCGTACGATCCATCAGCTACAGTCAAAAGCACAAAACCATGGACGTCCTCAACCATGTGATCCACCGTCAGCCAGAATGACAAGGACACCACAAACGTCCACCTTCGGCCAAGGCAAAACACAAAGACAGGACATTCATCATCCTCAAAAACCATGGACGCGTAACGTCCACTGGGTAAGGACCTCCATCGTCCATAGTACAAATCAAACTACAAAACCATGGATGGTCCCTCTTCGGCCTGGAGCACCAAAAAAAATTATGGTGCCTCCTCGGCTGCGCAAGGTAACCAAAAACTGCGAAGGGAAACAAACCAACGCCAATGCTATGACAACATCTCCAGCCTACATGTCCCACCTTCGGCCAAGATAGGGGAACACCACAACGGCCAAAGCACGCGTGACGTCCCCAGGACCACACTCATCATCCTCAAGCATGAGAGCACGCACGTCCTCAAGGTGAGGACCTCCATCGTCCACAACATGAAAGCAGAGGCCCCACAACGGCCAAACACAAAGAATAGCCACTACAACACCACAACGGCCAAAGGACATTAAGGCAAGAATCCACAGATGGTTCTGCCTCAGCCTGAGATACCAAAAACAATTGCGGTGCCTCCATTGGCCTAAAGCATCAAAACAACATGAATCTACTCCCTTTCACTTCGTCTACATCTCAGCTCAGGGGGTGGGGGACTCCTGATAGAGCATATGGCCCAGGAACCCTCCCTGACCCACATACCTCCACTACTGCAATCAGGCCCAACAGGCCCAAGTGACCCAAACACAGCAAACAAGACTCCAGACAGCCCATACTACAACAAGGTGTTGCCTTCGGCCCCATACTCGAAGGCCCAGGGGATATACGTCCTTCGGCACATGAAGGCCCCAGGGGACGTACGTCCTTCGGTGCATGAAGGCCCCAGGGGATGTACATCCTTCGGTACATGAAGGCCCTAGAGGACGTACGTCCTTTGACACATATAGGCCCCCAGGCTACGTACGTCCTTTAGCTCATGGCGGTATCCAGCTACGTACAGCCTTTAGCACATGGTGGTATCCAGCTACGTACGACCTTTAGCACATGGCAGTATCCAGCTACGTACGGCCTTAGCACATGGCGGTATCCAGCTACGTATGACCTTTAGCACATGGCGGTATCCAGCTACGTACGGCCTTTAGCACATGACGGTATCCAGCTACGTACGGCCTTCGGAACATGAAGTCCTTCTTGGTACATACGGCCTTCAGCACATGAGGGCCCCCATCTACGCACGGCCTTCGGCACATGAAGTCCTCCGGGGTACGTACGGCCTTCAGCACTGGCCCAACAAGATCTCCTCCCTGCACGCTCCAGATCGCCGTATTGAATGCAGTGTCACATCCAACCACCGCACTAAATGCGGTGCCACATGCTATGTCGGCGCCACCCTGGTTGAGTCGACCCTCCACCGTTGATCGTTTGACACGTGTACCTGCATTAATTACACCTAGCATTTATGGCTGCTATAAATAGCAAGCCAGTTCTTCATTGTAAAGGATTCAATCCCAGATCCCAGATCCGAAATAAAACAGTGGGAAATTCATTTATATATCACTTCTTTCTCTAGCTCTCCCTTCTCTCTAGTAGTTAATACTCCATCAAATATTTTATATGAACATGTTAGTACCCAATTTTTGATAGATTTTGATGATGTCACTATACTTTGCTCTTGTACATTGTGTCTTATTTACTTTCTGTAAAAGTGTCCAAAATTGTTCAAAGGACATACATATTTCACCATGGGCAGAAGCCCTGGACCAAGAAAAGCAAGAGACGCACGTCTCACATGACTATTAAGTGATAAAAATAAAATGTACAATTTTTGTGACTAATAAATTATACTGGAAATTAAAAATGCAATAAGGTATTTTTTTGTTTATCTTAATAGGATATTTAAATCCTACCAGTATATATTTATTTAACACAAAAATTAATCTTATCACAGAAATAAGGTCAAATAGGTACGAATATCATATACATTGCATGCGTATGATTGAAGACAAATTTTAATAGGCATTTAATGCTAAAATTGTACATGGGACCCGAAGCATGGAACGCACAGTCGCACACAATAAAATCGTCAGAATGATCTTGAAAGGATGTTTCAGCGGCTCATCAGTGAAGACAAATGAAATCTCCGATATTTGCTCCAGCACCAGAAGACAAAGATCAACACGTTCATTGTCAGAGATTGACTCATCTTAACCAACGGATGAGATCAATCAAACTTGAAGAGCCTATAAATATAGGCTGAAGCATGAGTTCTAATTCAAGTTTTCGAGTCTTCTAAGTAGACAAAATCTTACTAAGCATTCAAGAGATATCTAGCAAAAGAGAAAGTATCTGTTTAACTTTGCTCTCTGCTTACACTCATGCTTCACTAAACTTCCAAGTTAGAATTTCTCATTGCTATATTCTGGAAGTTTAGTTCTTAGTTGAAGACCAGTTTTCTTGTAAATCATAAAAACAGTTGCAAACACTTAGAAGGATTTTGTTATCAAGTCCTAACAAAAAACAATTAGAATTACACTTAGAAGCAGAATCAGTTCCAAATACACCCTTAATTCTTTATGGAGTAAAAGCAGATATTAAAGTATTTGAGTGAAAGTGTCAAAAAACTTTTGAATGTTTCAAATTGTTCGGAGAGACAGTTTTAGAAGATGTGAGACACTAACTTTTAGAAAATTGATTCAGATTCCGCTTCTACTTTTATATAAAAAAAAGAGTAGAAAATACAATAGAAATTGCCCTAAATAGTACTCCCTCCGTCCCCCTAATATTGGTACGGAAGAGAGGGGTGCGGTTTTTAAGAAAAGTAGAATTATATGGTTGGTAATGAGTTGATAAAGTGGAAATAAAGTAAGAATGAATTAGAGTCACACAAATGTTACCAAATATGGTATGAGACAATAATAAAGGGACATCCAAAAATGAAAAAATAGAACAATTACAGGGGGACGGGGGGAGTAGTAAAAAAATAGGAGTAAAAACACTTTGAAATTCCAAAATAGGAGTATCATGTTTTTTATTCCTTGAATAAGAGTAATCTGCCAAATTTGAAAAAAATGTCATGTTTTAAAGCCTGGTAATGCCAAACTTTGCAAAAAATTACTCCTATTCAAGGAATAAAAAACATGATATCCTATTTTGGAATGTCAAAACTTTTTTACTCCTGTAGAATTCTTTCAAAATACTTCCTCCGTTCTTAAATAAGTGCAACAGTCAACATTTCACACTTGTCGAGGCACAACTTTAACCATTAATATATTAAAACTCTTTTTTAGTAAAAACATTAAAAATATATATTCTGAAAATTTACAATGAGACAAATTTAACAATATTTTTTTCAAGAAAATATATTAATACATTATTTAATTAAACGTAATTAAAGTAGAATATTTGAATAGTGTAAAATTCAACATGTTGCACTTGTTCGAGAACAGTACAATCAATATATGGGCGGCGTTGACGGGCTGAAGCCATCCCAAAATAGTGGATGCATGTAGAGATATGTATAGTTGGAGGTGGCATTAGAGTATGCAGCCACCAGGCATCGTCCCCATACCGCATTTAATCAAGCGTCATTGGCCACGTGTAATCTCTGTCTAAGCCGCCATAATTCCTTGCTAGCTAGTAACCGGCCCATAATTATATTGTATTGTTACTCCATTCCGTTGCCTAGCTCGATCTACATATACATTCGTATTTTAACTTATCTTCTTCCACTGGGACTTAAGTGAAACCAGCTGCTTTCAATTCACGTGTTTGACTTCATCCATCACCCAAACAAAGAAAATAATTAAGGGCTCGCGGCGGCCGGCCGGCCGGAACGGAGTTATCTATCAAATCATATATCAAATTCAATGGCCGGAGAAGAGCCTATTCTCTCCAGAATTCAACGCCTTGACACCGTCGTAAGTACATGCTATATATGATATGCACCTCCAATACACACACACAAATGATCAGGTCCGAACGTTCGGATCTAGGCCTCCGTCCGAACGTTCCCAGTCGAATTTGTTTATGAAATTTTTATGATATGTTCTTCATCAAGTCTAGTTTATCCAACCAAAATTTTAACTCAAAATTCGATCTTAAAATGTTTTTTTTGAAGTTGACTGCATTTTTCTATATATAATTTGGCGCAATCAACTTTAAAATGAATTTGACTGTAACAGATACTCGTATATATACTCTATAAATACAGCTTAAACAACTGGAAAGCATGAAAGGCGGTGGTGGGACCACACAGTCAGAGAAGAGCTCCACCGCTTCCACAGCTTCCTCGACGGTGTCAAGCGGCGAAGTGGTGGTGGGGCAAGCCGTAGCGTTGCCGTCATCTTCTCCAGACTACTATTTCTACTGCTCTCCCACCATAAAGAAAGGCTTGGAGAAGCATTGCCGTCCGATGAAGGAGGCAGTAATGGAGGCTGCGCTGAAAGGCACCATCATCCAGCGACTGGTCAACGTAGAAGATCGCGTCACCGAACTCTGCATGCATTTCCAACGCGCGTTTGAGGCTCTCAAGATCAGCGGCGAGGCAGCGGCCGTGGTTCCGGCTGGCACCCAGTATAAACAGCCGAACAAAACGGCGCTGATCACCGCCGCTGCCCCAACCGCCACTAGTAACTCGGCAGGAGGGGAAAACAAGAAGTCGCCCAAACTGCTGCACAAAGGCGGGTTCAAGCAAAAGTCACCTAAGAAGGGCGGTTTTAGAAGCTTTGTCAAGTCTTGTGTGAAAACTAAGGGGAAAGATAACTAATACTCAGCATGATACTATACGTATGTAAAGTGACCTCCATAGTTCCTTATCATCAAAAGTTCTCACTTTGTCAAACATTTATGAGGATTTGTTTTGGTTACATTGTAGTTTTGTATTCATAAAAGAGGAAAATGCTGTTAAATTTTCCTAAATAGGAGCTCTCAGTTCTTGTCTGCCGTCGGTTCCAATTATTTTTCTTTTTTCCTTAAATGTCATTAAATGTCATCACCTATCTAATCTCTCCCACGGTCCCACCTTCTTCTTTCTCTTATATCTTTATCTTTTTTTCCTCATCCGTCAGTCACATCTTTCAGATTTCTCCCACATCTTTTTCTCCATTTTCCCTTAATTATATGTATTCTTTCCTCTTCGACTTAGTCAATTTCATCGTTCCTCTTCTTCAGGTTTAAAGAATCCGCCGCTCCTGGTATGTCTTTTTCTTCTCACCCTTCTCTCTCTTCCTTCTTCTCCTTCAACCTCTCATTTTGATTTTTTAATTTATCTTATTTTGAGGTTCTAAATTCGACTTTTTATTATTAAAATAGAAACATCCGGTGATTGAATAAAACTAATTAGATTTGTATTTATTAATTTTGTTTTTTTTTATTTTAAAATTTTCAATTCAAGGATTTTGGATCTCAAAATTCTATAACTAATGTTTATTTTTCGAAAACTTTTGCTTGAAAGCAATGCCATTTTTATAATATTAAATATATTAAGATGGAAAAATTATACATTTGAAAAAAGATGGCAAACTTATTTTACAAATGTCATGTTTTCAAAATGTTTCGCAAAAAATGTCATTTCGCATAAAATTAAAAAGATGGCAAAATTATTTTACAAATGTCATGTTTTTAAAATGTTTGGCAAAAAATGTCATTTTGCATTTATGTAGTTGACACTAACTTCATAAAGAGGGAAATATTACTCCGATATTTTAGCAAATAATGCCATGTTCTACAACTATTAATGTCATGTACGTATTTTTTATTAAATGTCATTGTGATGAAGATTATGATTTAATCTATCTAGCAGGCAACTAACTTGCCCAATATGGAAGTAGATGCACTAGAAGAATTAGCGGAGGAGGAGGAGGAGATGGCGGCAGTTCAAGCGGGCCGGAGGGCTCACCGGAGGGCAGCGGCGGCACTGGAAAATACGGAAGTGGCAAATGAAGACTCTCTTGAGAGCAGCGGCACATTGGTGACGTCAGTGGCGACGGCGGCACAGGAGATGGTGGTAGTATGTAGATCAGATCTGTGTAAAACTCTATTTTTGTATTTTGTTTTATGCTTCGTATTAACTAATTAATAGCTAATAAATAATCCAAGTTTCATTACAAAAACGGAAGTCTCCCCCTTCATTAAGGGGTATTATGGTCACTTGCATAAAAATTTCGTGTCAAACATGGTTTACAAAGTAAGACTCCTATTTTGGCAGAGTATCTATGTGCTACTCCCAAGGGAAGTTTCTCTCCCATATTGAGAATTTTCTCGTAAACAAATTAAATTAAACATGCAATTTAAGGTCTTGCTCGTGAATGAGGCACACATGTTTGATAAAATTATGTGTTCGTAGTTTTTGCTAGTGTAAAAAGACTTGCAAGGATAAGTAATAATGTTGCAATTACAAGTAAGTGTCGAACAATTTGCATATTTGTAACCGAGCTCCTAATGTGTTGACCTCATTAATAGACACGTTAACTTGGTGAAATAATGTAATGAGAGATTTACCTAATTCTAAAACAAGGGTGAAATAATGTAATGAGAGATTTACCTAACTCTAAAACACAAAAGAGAGGGGATGTAAAGTAAACACAAAAGAGAGGGGATGAACAATATCCAGAAGTAATGGTTAAAGTATTTGTCGGTCTTGATAGAAATTCTTATCCAACCGGTATGATATCAACAAACCCTTGGATCATAGTGAAATAACCACCATAGTTAAATATGTGATCGATATAATCGTTTCTCAAGAAGATCAAGATGTTGGGATAGCCAAAATCCCGGAAGTTCCATGCTAGTTATGCCTATGGAAGAGAAGATCAAAAGAGGATGGACGATCTCTTATCTTCGGAAGCTTTTGGAATCTAATTCAAAATAAAATTACTTTAAAGGATAAACAACAATGAAGGTGCACACATTCTAAGAGGTGAAATAAAGAAACAACCATGAAAAGTTATTGAAATGTGATCCATCAGTAATAACAAGTACGCAATAAGAACCGGTGGACGTAGCTCAACTGGTAGATAGGGGGTGCCATAAGGGGTAAGTCTCGGGTTCGAATCCTGACAACTACGATGAAAAATTACTATGCTCAAAATGCATAGGGCATCTGGAAGTACCAAGGTCAAAACCTCACTCTCTATCTGTCAACTTGTAATTAAAGTCCAATTTACATCCTCCCATCTAACTGTCCGGTCGGTGTTGGGACCCTAATAGATGGAGGGTCATCCTTTTTTAAGTAGCTTGTGATGTGGTGTTCCTTCTTAACATGTCTCATCAAGTTCCTTTCATGAAACACATGTGGTCTCTCATAGTCATGCCATAGATACATAGTATTACTAGGCACAACAAAGTGGATTTGTTCATATTAATGTAGCCGATGTATATGTTATCCTTGATGTGCAACAACTCAAATACTCACTTGGTATTTATATTAAAAATTATATGCTTAATGTTACTTATGATATCTTAATTTTGTACTCAAAATCTGTTATTCTACTATAGGCGCATCAAGGAAATTTCATTGATAGCCTATAGAGTCTTTAATTTTAAACCCCCTAAAGATTTTATAGAGCTAGAGAATCACCTTGTTTGAACTCTCATGAGAGAATCATAGTGTGTGCTTTTTTGTTCTACCAAAGATTTGATTCCAGGTCAGTAAATCCTTGGGCGACATGTATAGTCTTCACACTAGTTGAGCAAAAGTGATATGAGTGGGCCCTCCCCGAAAAAAGTATGAACAGAATGCGAAATCTCATATTTAAACTCCTAGAAAGACTGAGAAGAGTAGTTTGTAACACAATTAAATGACCAAATGCTTTAATTTGAACATGTCTCTTAAAAAGTATTACGAGACTTAGAGATAACAGAACGACGTTATCCCACAGAGATCAAATGCGGACTCGTTGGACATCTTTTTTCTCGAGATAGCAAATCATGTCAAAGACGTGTGATGAAGGAACTTTTTTTATGGTGATTTCTTTGATGACAGATTTGGTCTATTTATGTAAAATACTTTTAGGCAATTTCTATGGTACCTTGAAGGTATGGTACCTTGATGGTATGGACCAATAAAAAAAATTTCAATTGAATAATTTAAATGCAAATAAAATGTAAAACTTTGAGTTGGACCAATGAAATGCATCCTAGGTATGGTACCATCCTATTTTTGTTGGGTACCATAGCAAGCACCATACTTTTATTGCTTAACACCTTTGGAATGTTAGTCAACAAGAAGTTGAGCTTGTTCTTTGACTTATTGGAAGTTGAGCTTGTTCTTTGAATGATTCAATCTTAAAAAAAGTTTGCCAAGTGGAATGTGTTAGTTGTAGTCTTAAATGTGTGGGGTTGTTTGAGTTATCATTATGGAAAATGATAATTGCAAGAATGAATTCTGGTTTTATAAAAAGAAATGCAAAATTTATTGCATCGGTTAAAACCGATGTTATTTAGAAGACTTTTCACATAGGTCGCAGTATAACCAATATGGAAATTGATGGAGTATATGGGTCTAGGCCCAGGACCCACATACTCAGGAGAACAGAAGGCACAACTGCCACCCAATGGGACCCTCATCGGCCAGGTGACCCTCATCGGCCGGAACGAAGTCAACCCAGGACATGATTCGGAAGCCAGAAGAACCGGGTGACCTCGTCGGCCGGGTCTTCGTCGGCCATGCACTCATCGGCCAGACCCTCGTCGGCCATAAAGAACTCCCAGAACCGGATTTTACACTTACTCAGTTGTATACTCCATCATTTACTTTGTATTCGGCCCAATAGCGGTCCAGTTGTAAATGGGCCTCCCAAGCCCAAGGCTTGGGAACCCAGCCCGTATTTTTCCTATAAATACTTCCTCTGGAGGTAGTTGTAGTGGTTGGAAAATCATTTATTGAAGCATTTACTTGCACTTCTCTCTCTAGCTCTCACTTCTCTCTAGAATATAATCTATCATTTGGTGCTTTCATTGAGAGCTAGAACAATCAAGTTAGCATCCTTCGTCGCTACCAAGCACAGTTAATCACTGATCATGGGAAGAACTAAGTCAAACCGCAACCTCGTCAGCAAAGCCATCCCTGAGGACCAGGAGAACAGGGAGCGTGAGGAGGACGCCACAGCCGACCAGGTCGGAGGAGGGGATGTCTTTCAGGAGGCCATCAACCTCACGACGGATCTGCGCAACCAGCTCAACGGCGGCGCCCCTGATGCCCGCATCGGCCTGGATAAGAAGCGCGCAGAGAAGGCAGACAATGCCACGGCCCAACCGTTGGCCACGACTTCTCCGTATGTTGACCCACAGGTTCAGGCCGCACTATCGGTCATCATCGCCAGCCTGGCTCAGAACCCCACCGTCCTCAGCGCACTCAGGCCAAGGACGGGGGAGAACATCACTTCACCTCCTCAGCCCCAACCGTTGGCCATCAAGCTAGGCAACGATGAGGGGGTGACAGCCCAGGACACGGCGTCGTCCCACTCCCACCCTGCCTCCCCTCTTTGGCCCGGACCGACCCCAGCGCGTGGAAAAGCCTCTGCCTCCAATAGGCTGGGTGACATGCGTCGTCATCCGGTATCGGAGAGGATGGCGGGATGGATTGGTGAACGTCGGTCTGGCTCGCCAAGGGAAAGCGAGGAGAGGCCACACACCGAACCGGCCGAAGAGGTCGAGGAGGTCCCCCTGAATGCCTCCTGGCCGGAGCGGGTCCTGAGAATCGGGAAGCAACTCCCACGGGACCAACGTGATGGCATCCTCCTAGTCCTAAGGTCATATGCCATCATCTTCGCATGGGGCCCGGACCACATGCCAGGCATCAGCCGGAAGGTGATCACTCACCGGCTATCAGTCGATCCGGCCTCCACGCCTATCAAGCAGAAGCAACGCTACTTATCAGCCGACAGACGAGACTTCGTCAAGGGAGAGGTCACCATGCTTCTCTCAATCAACCACATCAAGGAGGTGAAGTACCCGACATGGCTAGCCAACGTCATCCTTGCCTAGAAGACGCCAACATTCAAAATGTGCGTTGATTACACTGACCTGAACAAAGCGTGCCCTATGGACCCATTCCCTCTCCCCAATATAGATCAATTGGTGGACGAGACGGCGGGATGCGAGTTGATGTCATTCCTCGACGCTTTCAGAGGGTACCACCAGATTTTCATGCATGAAGATGATGCCGAGAAGACGACCTTTATGATCCCAGAGGGAATTTTTTGCTACCTCGTCATGGCCTTTGGGCTCAAAAACTCAGGTACCACCTACACCCGGATGGTAGCCAGAATCTTCAGGACGGTCCTCGGCCGGACGATGGAGGCATACATCGACGACATGATCGTCAAGAGCAAGCGGTCCGCCACACACGCTCACGACCTCCGGGAAATTTTTGAAATCATGAAAAAATTCAATCTCCGCCTGAACCCGAAGAAGTGCGCCTTCGGCGTCCAAGGCGGCAAGTTCCTTTGCTACATGGTCAGCCGAAGGGGTATTGAGATAAATCCGGAAAAGATACAGGCCATTATCAACATGGAGCCACCGCGCAATGTGAAGGAGGTGCAATGGCTGACAGGTCGCCTGGCGGCCCTAAGTCGTTTCCTCTCCAAGTCAGCCGAAAGGTCACTCCCTTTTTTTCCAAATCATGCGCAAAGCAAGCAGCTTCAAGTGGACGACGGAGTGCCAACAAGCATTTGAGGAACTGAAGCGGTACCTCTCGTCACCACCGGTGCTCTCTAAACCCAAAGCCGGTGAAACCCTCTTCTTGTACTTAGGGGTGAGCACGTCATCCATCAGCTCAGTGCTCATCTGCGATGACGAAGGGGTACAGAAAGCCATATTCTACATCAGCAAAACACTCCGGGAGGCCGAGCTTAGGTACTCCCCCATTGAGAAGACTGTGCTAGCCATCGTCCATACCGTGAAAAAGTTGGGGCACTACTTCCAGGCCCACGCCGTCCATGTACTGACCCAGCAGCCCCTCGGCGCACTCATGAGGAGCCCCACTAGCTCCTCAAGGATGGTGAAATGGGCGATCTTCCTCAGTCAGTTCCAGATTGAGATCAAGCTAAGGCCATCTATCAAAGGGCAGGCCTTGGCCGACTTCATCACCGAATGCACAGCAAGGGAGACGGCCGCCACTACCCCCGGGCCAGAGCCAGACGACACGTGGACCCTCTTCACTGACGGCTCTTCGGTCGCGAAAGCATGCGGGGGCGGCGTCGTCCTCATTTCCCCTGAAGGATTCAGAGCATACTACGTCATCCGCTTCAACTTCAGGGTGTCAAACAACGAAGCCGAGTATGAGGCCCTCCTCAGCGGC